GGGGACTCTCCTAAATATTAAGAATTATATTTGTACAATTATTCTTTTTAAAGACAATCCTGTAGACCCTGTGGTAATTCCGTATGTACCAAATAATGTGAGTTGGGTAGACATCTGAGACGAGTATGTACTCTAACTGGTAGCTAAAAGAAGATAATAAAGCACGTTTTTTATGTACGTTTAATTATGTAATTTTTCTTTACAGTTCCAATTTATACTTTACCCTTGCTGGACGTCGTCGACTCAAAATTCCATTTTTATAAAATAGCGTAAAAGCACCACATTGTATAATATACAAATCTTCCTTCTAAATAAGAGTTTTCCGTAAATGTAAACAAGTAAAGTACAGTATATCATATTATTAATGCTACTTGCCTCGTTATAATATCCATGATTCTCTTCACGTTTATTTTGTACATGAAACTTATCATCTAAAGGTTTATGGTTTTGTAATTGAATATCCTCGCAGCAATTGCTACTGTCTGATTGATCGTTATTGTAATCTTCTCGCAGCTGTTCTAATATCGATGGTTTATTTTTTTTTGTATCTTTTGCTTTATTTACACCATCCAGCCAATGCAATATATATGCAGTTTTTTTTGCTACTGTTGTTAGTATCTCTATATATTTTCCAGACATGAAACGTGGACAATCTTGTATTGGTATAATACGTTCGTATTCTAACAGGGATCTCTCAAATTGAGATTGCTCGCGGAAATTTTTTTTAACGATCGCTTGAATATCATTTTCCATATTTTCCGAAGTTTCTTTTATATCTTGCGATTTGTGCTGTTTACAGCAATTCATTCTTGGTACATACGTGACGGTCTTAAGTTCCGATTGAGATTTCTTAATTAATTTATTTTGGATTATATTGGTGCTAACAATTTCCCGATCATCAGTTATGTTCTCTTCTTTCTTAATTAATTTATTTTGGCTATTGGTGCTAACAATTTCCCGATCATCAGTTATGTTCTCTTCCATATATTGCGTATAATTCTCTGCGTAAAGATAGTAGAATAAATTAGAATAAGTTTGAATTTTCTCTTAATCTCTCTTGTAATCTCCGTGGCTGCGTTCTACTTGGCATTCACAATTCTCACAAGCATTATTTGTCCTTGTAAAAGGTTTTTTCCATACACTCGACGCCATTTTTAAAACAAGCCACACGTGATCAAAATTTACTTAATTACTAGTTAATTCGATTTCACCAACGTAAGATTAATTTTAATCTCGGTTTAACTTATGTTTATCTTTTCTGATTCTTAGAATCAGAATTACTCTTACATTGGAATTGAGACTTAATATTCGTCAATTTTGATCACGTGGCCTATTTTAACGCTAAAAATGATCGCTGACTGTCAGTATGAAATAATATCTTAACATCTGATAAATATCTAAGATGAAATATGATTCCAAGAACGTTGTGAACGTCAAGTGGAACGCAGCCTATGATGACGAGATAGACCCGTTCACATTGCTTGAAATTTCCAAAACTATTGCGCACTTAAGACAAGATAATATATATTCGGATGTTAAAAATAGGGCTTTAGCAGAAAGCTGATTTATAATCTTAAGACAGTGTCTTATGGCTTAAGTAGTCTTATGTCTTATGTCTTTAGTAACGCACAAGAACTGTCTTATGACTTATGTTCTAAAGGCTCCTCGTATTTATACATACTTTAAGATATAAGCCATAGAAAAAGTAAAGAGTGCAAAAAGTGCAAGCAACACGAACAGGTATCGAGTATATAATTTTTTCTCTAGAATAGAAACGTGAAAAACTTTATGTATGTATGTGTGTACATATATACAAAATTTTCATTTTTTATTTCCATTCTAAGGAAAAAGTTACATTGTATAATTGACTCTCAGACTTAATGATTGGTCTTCCGAATTTCTTCATCAGAAATTATTAACCGATGTATAACGATATTTATCTAGCGACAAATGACTCAATTAAATGTCGATCCGACATTTAATTAACGTAGAAATAATTTACATATTGCATATTTTGTTGTCGATTCGACATCAATTTAATGAGTCATTTCTCGTTAGGTAGTGACATGTATTTATTTATTTTTAATTTTACACTGCTTATCTTTTATGGCTGCTTTCTACAATAAGCCATTGCCTAATCTTAAAGCCTTAAGCCACAAGAAAATAACTAATCAAAGTCGAATGAAGAAAATAATCGACTTATTATTGATCAATTTCTTAAGGCTTTAAGCTTAGGCAATGGCTTATTCTAGAAAACCCATTAATCATCCTCGGCACATCGAGTTTTCATTGCGCCTTTATGATTGATACGAAGATATGAATTTTTATACGTGCAAAGAGATACTTGCTATATTTCAACCAAAAAGATTCGATCTTCCAGACACATTCGGCGCGGTATCGCCTCCTAGCTGCCTCTAATTGCAGAAATACAGATTCTCTTAAAAAGATTAAACGTTTCCCGTAATGCACCAATGAATTATCGTCGTTCAGGGAGGACGACTCCAGTATGTTTTTGCAAGCTGTACGTAAATTACTGCAGTTTGCTACGGAGAAATAATTAATTAATATAATAGAGAGAGAGACTCAAAGTTTTTTTTAGAATCTTTACCTGTGCGTTTTCTACTGTAGCGTTTGAAGAAATCCCAGTAGATGAAATAAATCGGATATTTACATCTGGCCAGTGGTAACGCTTCAAGGATACCCGTATTAGCCAATTGCTTGCGAAGATTGTCTCGATCCCACTCGTGGCTGTTGAGTCGCCTGCAGGGTGTATTTTTTGTTATATAAAAAAGTAAACTTGATTATGCGTTAATGTGTTGAATACTATACTGTGGCTTAATGCAGCGAATGTAATGCGTGTCACATTTGTTTAACTCTTGTAGCAACAAGTCCACGTTATATCGGAGCTTAGAAAGCATCGTAGGCTTCTTCACTTTTCCATTAACTTGATGTTGACTATTTTTGGTAATTAACGAATGTAGAAATTTGTTCGTACTCATGCTGAATGTTATCGTTATCTCGTCCGGAATCTGTAAATGCGTTATCACGTTAGATTACATTCAAATTTTATTTCGAGTACCATCCGTGTATCATTTTATCTTTAAGGACCGGTTGTTCCGTCTTCAGATAAACTATGTGGTAACTTATTGGATAAATGAAAGAGTAAAAGAATAAAGCTGCTTCTACATAATTCGCAAATCGCAAAATGTCGTTACAGAATTGGCAGAACAATGTATCACTGCATGCAAGATACACGCAGATGCAAATCAATCGCACCTAATGAATTGAATTGCGACAACGTTGACATTTAAATTTAAGTCAGAGAAACTTACTATGTTTCTAATATTTTATATATTACGAATATTTATAAAATTGCGATTTGCGAATTATGTAGAGGCAGCTTAAGAACATAAGAGAGTAAGACAGCTGAAGTTTATCAAAGAGTGAAACAACTCAGCCTGTACTTTTTACATGAACTTCTTGCACGGTTCATATTTTCTTTTTTTTTCCTCTGTGGAGAAAAAAGAAAGAAAAAGATGAAACGTGCAAGAGAAGTTCAGGAGATCGATTGTATATCTTAAAATGGGATGTAAATTATAAAAGAGAGCAAATTTACCAGATATTGATCAATAAAATTATAAATGTCCTATTGAATTTACTCACCTTTGTAACTTTTTTCAAGATACATAATCGATCACCAGCTAAAAAGAATAGGCTTCTTTGTTTACCGAATGTAAACAAGGATAAATAACTTGAGAGCACTCAGATAAGAATCTGAACATACTTAAATTTCTACTAATTACCTTTATCTCAGTTTAATTTACCCTTTATTTTTTTCTAGCTCTAAGAGTTAGAAAAAAATAAAAAGTTAAATTATATAAAATTAAAGTTAATCTACAGTAATAAAAATGAACATTAGAAATATATTTAAAGATCCTTTAGTAGAATATACAAAATATTGTAGATGTAAAAAATTTGTATTCGTCTGATTACAAATCAAAATAAAATTTTGGTAAAATCGAATTCAATATATACATTAAATTATAATTTAATAATTTAATGGATAATTTTACTTCGAGTTTATCGAAATTTCGTTTTTAATTGCATTCGATAAGTACAAATCTTTTGCATCAACTTAATACTTTACATGCTAAAGATCTTTAAATACATGTAATGTTTCTATTATTTAATTGTGATTTAACTTACTTTTCATCTATTTCTGATGTACTGTTTTTTTTATATATGGGAAAGAAGTTTTTCTCCTTTTAAAAAGTTCGAATTTTTAAATTTTATTTAAGGTGATGGAAAAATGACAAACTTTTTTCATTGTTTATCATGATTGGTTTACCTTATCAGTATTCTTGGAAAGCAGATCGTAAGCAGAATATTGTACAGTACCACAGTAATGCTGTATAACAAAATTTTCTTTCCTTATGTTCAAAAATCGTCTCGTTGCAGGACAGTTCTTAGCGTTCACTTGGCGTATTAATGTAGACGAGCTGTTCGGAACCGTCGATAGACACATCTGTAACGCGAAAATATTCATCACGTTAACTCTCCCGCACTAATAGATATCATTTATTAAATATTCGTAAGATATTTACATCGTTTATGACAGTAAACAAATATTTTTCGATCGTGCTTATGCGATCTTCGTACAATTGTACAATTTTGAACGATTCCTCATCGTCGATGAGACCCTCTTTTTGTAGATCGTTCCGGCAGGACACCAGATAGTTTTTCACAAAATATTGCTGCAATCTCTCGTTGACAAAATTAATGCAAAGTTGCTCGATGCCGTTCGAATCAAAGCATTCGAATCCGAAGATATCCAATATTCCTAAAACATGAGAAACATCGGTCGATATTTGCAAAATCATATCTTTTTTCATAGAATAATGTATCGCCTTTTGTCGTTTAAAACGGTTAATCCTTATAGATTTTAAAGATCTATTCTTATAAAAATTTAATGTGTACTGGCAGGTAGTAATTAAGTATTTTAAGCATTAAAGGCATTGTTCAGTACCTTTAAGAGTCAGAGACATACATCTAGAATTTTATCCAAATAGGTTTTTAATCTTTTTAGATGTGTACTCTTAGGCTCAGTTTTACAACTCATGGTTAACCCTTAATCGAAGTTCAACTTATTTCTCATCTTTTTCCAATTCTAGAATTAAAAAGAGACAATGAATAAGTTAAACTTCGGTTAAGAGTTAACAGTCAGTTGTGAAACTAGGCCTCAATACTCAAAATAAGTAATTTTAGTATCAAATTAGATTTCTGTAAGGGAAGAAAACATCTTTAATACCCAATCGTTCGCTGTACAAACGGGCGGACAAGATTTTGTTTACGAAGTTGATCAGCCAGCTGAAAAGAAGATCGTACAAGTGGCGGATGATGCTGTGCAATCGGTAGCGACAGGCATTTGTCGTGTTGAGATTACGTCGGCAGATAGTGTGTCGACGCCGGGTATTTTGAGGGTTTATTAAAGTAGACGTGAGCAATTCGGCGATGTCCTCTTCTTTGATGCAGGCCAGCCTGCATGTATTCTTCAAGGCTTCTCTAGATTCTGAAAATCGCATGATAGTTGTTGAACTTTCGCTTTTCCCTTGCACCGCTTATTATCAATGAAAAGCATTTCCCATACAATACAGACTTCTAAGGGATGTCCTAAAGACATTCAGAGAACGTCTCCTATGTCGTCTGACATTCGCGGAAATCCAGAAATTTATTAAGGGGGTTTACTTTGTCGCAAGCGAAACTTTTTTTAGGTCAAAATGATAAGAATAGAATATCAAATTATTAATTATTATTTAAACTATTACATTAAAAAAATATTATTTAAATGTGTAATTCATCAAATGTTTTATTTAAAATTATATTAACACGAAAGAAGAGTAATATAATGGAATCTATGTTTTTATCTATGGTTCGTTCTACCTTATGTTCCATCGATGTCTGAGAAATTTTTTACGATTATCAAGAACATTAACGTGAAACTATCCTTCTTCAGTTTGAATAAACTTAATAAATTCATAAAAGTACAGAAGGACATTCTCCCAAAATTCTCCAATAAAAATATTGTGTGTAAAATCCATTGTAAAGATTGCGATGCGTCATATGTGGTCAAACAGGTCGCAAATTATTCATGAAAATATCTAAGCATCGCAATCATATCAACAGCATTACAAGAATCAATCAGTGATCACAGACCACCGACTTGGTTTCAATTATGAATTTGATTGGGAGAATGTCCAAATTTTTGATAAGGAAAGATTTCTCAATAAACGCTTAAATTCAGAAATGCTTCATATATACATGCAGAAGAATGGACTTAATTTAAAAACAGACACAGATAACATAACAGTAATGTTTCATTACTAGTATGCTTCCTTATTAGACACATTAAAACAATATTGAGATTTAAAATAGTTATAGGTTGACTCTCTTATTATTATTATTTATTGTCATTGCTTGTTTATAAGTCCCCTTATCATTTTGTAACGTTCAATTTCAAACGACATTTCAAGATGAACTAACACGACATTAATCCGAGGAACGATTTGTGTTAATTATATCTTATGAAAATTGTGAATCAATGTTTGTCAATTTTTTTGTTTTCCCGTTGAGGTGAGTCACACGATTATTACTGATTTTTAAGTATTGAACTAACAGTAAGATGGTAATAATTTATATAGCGCATTGATTACTGCATTTCTGCCAATCTGAGTGACTTACTTTCAACGTGGTATTATATTCTACTTTTTCGCTGAAGATGATTCCAAAGTGAGTCGAAACGTTCGATATAATAAATGAAGACAACCGCCAACGTTTGAGTATTATCTACATCTCCTAACTCTTCGCTCTTACAACAGCATCAAACTTTCATTAGCCTTGTTCTAAATTTCTAATTATTGTTTCTATGTTTTTATATTTAGAAGTATCTTAAATTAAAAAAATATTTTTGGAATATCAAAATTGTGATAAAGCGTTTTTAGAAATATTAAAAATATATATAACAGTTTGCTATGAATATTTAAAAAAATGAGGTTCTAAAAGAAAGGAGAATTCCCATGACTCCCTTCATGGAAATTCCATACGTATCTTCTGAACGTCTTACTGAACGGGACGTTCCCAGAATATTTCTCGGATAAAGTACTGTATGGGTTTCTATCGCGATTTATATCACGTGAAATAATTAATATAATTGCCATCGAGAAATTACGTACGTTGATCATTGGTATCGATCTTGCAACGATCGTCCTCCTCCACAAACTGTATGTTACCCATGTGAATGAGTAGAGAGAGAATGAAGAAAACGTCCTTCTTCTGACTTACTGTAAACCCTAACATATCCATCGCTCTTGTAGTCTCATGGAAATCGTCGCAGAACTCTCGCACTTTCGGAGAATCCAAGTCGTTCATCATGAAGTATCGCATATCCATCGACAATTTGAAGTCCGCGAATGTTACATTTCCTATCGCGCTCATCATCTAAGGTGCAGTTTTGCGAAATTTAGCAAAAGGCTGGATTAACAGTTATATTTTTTAAAAATGCGCACAACTAGCTGAAGCCTCTTTCACCTGACTAAAAATCTGAAAATTACAGCAGCCCTTCGTGACTCTGTCCCTTTCCAGGAGGTAGGAGGATATCGTTGCTCCGCATATGCTACCCATTTTGTACTCGAGCCATACGAGTTGCACATGCCTCGAGCTGACTTCATTTATTTCAGTGGGCGCAGTTGTGAAAGCCGATATCAAACGGCAGGCGACCGAAATCTTCCGCACGATACCACAAACTACATCTTGCGTCTCGAGGGCTTCAGGAGATGCGTTTCTGGTCAGGAATTCCAGCGCCTTCCATGCATTGAAGGTCTTTCCTGTTCCGGTTTCTCCATTTAAGACTATCACCTTTATGAAGAAACGTCGTTCACAAATGTACAGGGAAATGGAATAAATGAATAAAATCAATCTGGTTGATTCGTTCAGAAATAAGATTCAATTCGACTACGAAGACCAAGAGACTCCTCAGTGTCACTTTTACTACAAGAAAAGAATGATTTTACTGAGTATCTAAAATAGCTAGATACAGATCTGAAAATAATTTTGTTTGGACCATCAAAATAATTATGTAGGTCACTTAAACTTTTGCTAAATTGTAAAAGTATTTGCAGTATTGTCATCAACGTTTAAGTGTCTCGCATAATTATTTGTGCGGTTAATTATGGTTCAACAAAATTATTTTCATCTTCATCTGGCTAAATTTTTAAATACTTCAACAAAATTATTCTTTCTTTATAAGGTCCTCTATTGGTGACATGAACCATTTCGTATCAGCTCTGAATTGAAAAAATAGGAAAAGATAATTCAATGCACAAAGAAGATTGCGGCTCAAATTTTCAGACAATTGGATTTACCTGGCTAGGTTTTCCGAGACCCTGAACTATCCTGTAATGCGCCCGGGCAGCCACGGCGAATATGTGAGGCGACACTTCCTTACAGCTCACATTGCATATATTGTCATACTCGTGAACTTGCGAGAGATCGTAAATGTCCTTAGTGGTGATCTCGCCGCTGGGATTGATCGCCAAAAGGAGAGTGCCAACCCACGTGTAAATATGACCGCGTTCCAAACGCTCCAGGAGATAATCTACGACTGTTAGAATTGTTTCCGGTTGACGGCGAATAAACTTACAATATATTTTGTGTTAAAAAAGTATATTATAGAAAATATGCATACTCTTCTCCTGCGGCACAGCGCTTAGGTCTCCCATCGCATCCCAAATGTAGGACCAACTAATCTCCTGCAACACGCGACTCAGTCAACGCGACTCAGTCAACTATATTATCGAATATCAGCACGTACCTTTGCGAATGTACACATTGTCCTTATGTATATATACAGAATTACTATTAGAGCGACATCCGTTGTTGACACTCGTTCTCTTCAGTTTGACAATATAAAGTTTTTGCCGTATCAAATTTATGAGAGAAAGTATAGAATGTGTACGTCGCTACGTCAAAGCGACACACGTATACTTTTAAAACAATGACAGAATTCGTAGAGAAGTTCGCTTATCGATATGCAAGTCGATTTGCATTATGACTTTTGCAAAAATACAAATATCAGTCGTCTGTAACGGTCGTCGGATGTAGAGAATAAACATGTAATCATTATGTTACGTATGCTCTTTATTTACCATAACTTTTATACGATGCGACAGAATTGGCTTTTAAAATCATTCGCATTAGTCACAGGCTCGCTTTCCGAGGTGTAGCCGTGGCGGGCGATTAACATCAATGTCGATTGCTCATCGATAATATCAATAAAATTGTCATTTAATTTATCTCATATCAGATCTATGAATTTGTATTCTTTATTAATAGTAAGTGGATTTGAGAACTATTCGGTATATTTCTATAAATATTTGACTGCATCTTGCGAAGATAATTCTGCGGAAAAGCCAAGATTTTTCTAATTCTAAACATTTTATTTTATATTTCTTAAAAAAATTAATGAAATTTTATATATTTATATATATA